CTGGAGCAAGATATAAGGAGGTCTCAACCTCCATCCATTCATTGTAACTAAGTTTCCTTTATACAAGAATATAGAGTCAAGTCTTACATATCACGAGAACACACGCAACAGCGACTATAGAGACCTACTGTGAGCATAACTTCCCCAAGAGTATCCATCGTCCTGCTCCCATATAGCCTAGTTAATATAACACTTTGCATTACACATGTTGACACGAGTCATTGTATTGCAAACAAAAAACTCGACGCCAAAGGCACCAAAAATGTCTTCTTAGGTTACAGAGGAAGGAAAAATAAACTTGTCTGGCTACTTGATGGTGGGAGGTTTATTGTGTTGCCACAAGTCACGGCGTATGAAAACGTTGGTCTAGGCCTTGGTTGGGCAGCAGACCCCAGAGAAGTTGTCCAATTGCTGCCAAAGCATGTTCAAGTTAGACTTAGGTCCAGAAAGCAGGATTATGCAAGAAACGAGGTTTACAATGTACCTCAAGATGAAGAACCACAGCCAATATTGCCAAGAGGGCGTGGCTGCCCCACACGCGCCATCTAGCGGCCCTACGAGGGTCAGCAGTTGTAAGGATTCTCCTTCCCATCCTATCTTTAGTTTATAATTTTACCCTTCTCCTGATGTTGCTATGACAACAGAATAGTTCTAGGCACTGGTTATTATGTTGGTACTAGTTTAGGGCCTATGTTATGATGTGCTAGTGGGAGGAAAGCAAGTATGTGTGTGATAGCTTGGCCTGCAGCTATAGAGTTCTTCACGCTTAGTCTTCTGTCACAACCACCACCTTCGGATCACCTCTGGTCACCTATAGTCACCACCAGTCACCTCTAGTTACCTTTAGCACCTTAAGTCACTACTAGTATTTGCTCGTACCTTTAGACCCTTTAGACCCTTTAGACACCTATATTACCCATTTTTAAACTTTTAGTTCTCCAAATTATCTCCAGTAGATCTTTAGTCATCCCTTGCTATCCATCCGACCTCTTCTCGCCCTTCTATTCCGCTTCAGGTCAATTGCCTACGCTCCAATTTGACAGCGGTTGATATCTCTCATTGCTACTCTGAATATGGACAACGAGATGGCAATAGTGCTCCATGAACTTGATACATCCGAAAATCCTATTATCTACTCCAAGAAAATATGTGACCCAGTAACAGGACGAGACTTTGGGGAAATTAATTTATCTTTCCCATATGAGGAGATGAATTCACCGGAATTGACAAGAAAAGCCCTAGATAAACAGGAATTTAGTCTGCACAACAACGGTGATGAACTCTTTCGAATATTGGTGAATTACCCATCTACCTCATTGCACATGGTAAAATCATCAGTAGACGAACCTTTGTTTTCAGATGCAATGAAAAGTAACAATAGACGCGAGTGGATAAAGGCCATCAATCAAGAAATTAATAGTTGCTTGTCTAGAGGAACCTTTAAGTTCGTACCTCGAACAGTTGTAAAAGATAGAGGGCGCCTTGTAAAATCAAAATGGGTGTTGAAAAAGAAATACAAATCGAACATGGAACTCGATAAATATAAGGCCAGAGTGGTAGCTAAAGGATTTACCCAGACAAAAAGTATTGACTTCAATGAAACCACATCAACAACAGCAAGGTCAGCCAGTTGGAGATGTCTGATGGCGTTGGCTGCAATCAAGGGTTGGAACATTCTTCAAGCTAATTTTATAGCTGCATACCTTGCGGGTGACTTTAAGGAAACCATCTTTATGGAGCAGTTCCCATATTTGAAAGAATATTTTGAAGCGCACCCAGAGGTTGCCTCGAACCTTGGATATTCCGACACCAGTGTAATCGGGCTCAAAAGACTTTTGTATGGTCTCAAGCAATCAGGAGCCTGCTGGCAAGATAAAGTCAGGCGTATTATGACTGAAACAGGCTATCAACCTCTGATGTCTGACAATGCTATCTACATCAGCAAGAAAAGTGGAATTATTGTGGCATCTTACGTCGATGATTTCCTGTTCATAGGTCCAAATATGAATGATCTTAAGTCGCTATTGCAATCTCTGAACAGTGAGGTCCCATTAAATGACCTAGGCGATGCGCACTGGTTCCTTGGAGTCTGAATCAGGAGATCATTGCCAACTGGCAGCATCAGACTAGATCAGGAACAGTACCTTGAAAGGTCGTTCCAAGAATTTGGAATTTCCCCAAAAGTTTTCGAGACTCAAATTTCGCCCAGTAGTAGAGCAGATATGAGAAAGAATCCAAACAATGCAACTGCAAAAGATCTATTCAAATTCCAAAAATTGGTTGGCAAGTACAATTTTTCATCTTGCATGACACAATGCATTACATCTCAGGCTACATCTCAAATGGCACGGTTCATGTGCAACCCATTGCCTCAATACATTTGACATATGATGAGGATTCCTCAGTATTTATCCGGCTGCAGAGATAGAGGGTTGTACTATGAGAAAAACAATTGGCACCTGAATGAGTATGGAGTACTGGGGTTGTTCTGTGCAGTGGATTCCAGCTTTGCAGATGACCATGATAGGGCAAAGTCCACGACAGGATACGTGATATTCATGGCTGGGGGACCCATAATTTGGAGATCTAAGGAATAGAGTACGGTCTCGACATTAACTTGCGAAGCCGAATATGTCGCCATGTTTGAAGCAGCAAAGGATTGCGCATGGATTCGAAGCTTCTTGACCGAACTAAGTGCAATGCCTTCTGGACCTAAACCAGTATTAGAGGACAATACAGGAGCTATAAATGGGCTACTAACGACGGGATGGTATCGGGTCAACGCCACATACGTGTCAACTATCATTATGTTGCAAAGGAAATTCAAGATCAAAAAATTTGTGTTAGACAGATAGAATCCAGCTGCAACCCTGCAGATGGATTCACAAAATCCCTAAATGCCGATTCTTTCCGACAATTTACTAAGCAGCTAGGGTTGATGAATGGATTTTTGCTTCAGGACTGAAAGGGCGTGTAAGCAGACTTATGCTTGCATAAGTCTGAACCCAGCCCATAAGCAAAAGTACAATCTACACAAGCAGACATTGGTCTAGTAGTGATGATCAGGGGCATTAATGGGGTAGAATTAGATATTATAGTGCTACAATGGACTCGTAGCACGGAGACAATTAATTAATTCATTCTTGTATTTGCTTTCATCTTTAACAATTCACGTGACATTCTCACAAAGACCTCTCCAAGTTTTACAGGATTTGATGATATGCACCTCGCAAATCAAGCCGAGTGAATACTTTTGCCTCGAGAAGTTGTCGAAGAGAGTCATCAAACCGGGGTTAGGGATATACATTCTTTAACGTCACAGCATTTAGTGATTGATAATCTACGCAAAATCGAAGACCCCCTGTCAAACTCGAGGGTACCAGGGGTTGTGTTTTATGGATAACTTAGAAGTGCGAGTGATATCTGACAAGATTTGTCATAGACTAAGGTATTAATTCGGGATTCTAGCTATAACTGAGGGCAAGGGACAAGAGAAACTAGGACAAGAGACAAGGTCAATGGAAGACGGAAAACAAGACGTGGCCCTCTACCTCGGCTCTACCCAACCCATATATACATCATAGTAACCAGAGCAACTAAGGCTTCAAGGGGTGCGCCTGCTGCTATTCTATTACTTCATTTGTAACCCATAGTAACCATTGTAACCCGGTAAACGCTCTAAGATGAGAGAATATTCAGACTTAGTGTAGGGAAAGAATTTGAGGGTGCTGCTCTATCCTCAGTTCCTGACACCCCCCCCCCCTGGTTTCTTAACAAAAAGGACAGGCAATGCAAACAAAGAAGTTGATGGTTCAATAAACCCCTTCCTGAGATTCTCTTGCAGATAATCTTGCAATTCCTCATGTTCACTATCTGACATTGAATATAGCGGGCCAAGAGTGAGCCTTGCGTTTGGATCTACCAGAAGACTGTGTTATGGGCTGTGCCCAGATTGGGACTGGTCACTAGGACCAACCCGGCTAGATCTATAAGCGCCAACAAAGCAGCGCTTACAGAGACGCAAAAGGTTGCATGGGGAAGAATGCAAGGATACACACAAAGGGGGATCTAAGTGCCGCATAAGGATTAATGCAAGGTTGCGCACAAGAACGAGTCTCAGTGTTGCATAAGGATGATTGCAAGGTTGCGCATAAGGAAAGGCCCAAGGGAGTACGTACTAAGGGGGGGAGGATGTCACAGGAAAGAGGGTAGCCGGGGAGAATGGAATATTCTCAGGTAGGCTAGGAGGGGAGCTTAAACGCGACGCCGAGGAGGACATAAAGGACAGGAGCTGTCGTAGGCAGATTAGCTTCCTAAGGAAAAATTATCAATTCCTATTGAGTTAACGTCTTTCAAGTACTTCTGATTTCTTTAAACCCTTTACAGACTGTGATCAATATACCGGTGTGGTGGTATTTGTTCTGCTTGCTTGGGAGAAAAATTGGACAAGAATTCATGGAATTGGCGAGGAATTTGCGGTTGAAGTTCATTATGATCTTTGATTTCTGATTTTTTATCTCGTTTTAGCATTTAAAGTTGTGTTCTAGCAAACATGGGATATTCAGAGAACAAGACGAGAGGCAAGTTGAATACAAAGGACGAGACAAAGGACTAAATGGAGGACGAGGCGAAGGACGAGACAAAGGACGAGACAAAGGACGAGACAAAGAACTAGACAAAGGACGAGGGGAAGGGAGAGGCGAAGGACGAGACAAAAGCACAATACAATTTTGCTTACAATGGGAAGAGGTAAATAACACATTATTTGTGTTCCACTTAATTTCAGGATCATGTTTAGAGAGCCATGATTTAGCGAGAATTATATCATACTGAGCAATGCAAGTGATTTGAAAGGTTAAAATTTCCGAGTGGTTTGCAATTGACAGCATTAAATCAATTTCATGGGTAATAAGTCCTGAGGATGATTGTCGGCCATCCACCACCCTTACCACAAGTGGTATCTTCTTCCTTGAGATGAGATTATTTTTCTTTACAAAGAGCTAGTTGATGAACGAAGTTGAAGCTCCTGAATCTAACATTGTAAGAGCTTTTATACAATTTTCTAAAACGGATGTGATTGTGAGGGGTTTTTCATTACCCAAGTCAAAAGAGTGAATTTCGGATTTATTGTAGAGAGATACAGCAGAATGGTAAAATTTGTTTTTTCTAGATATTGTTTCATGGTGATAGGAGATTGGGTCCTCAGATTCCACAGTCAATGGCTTTGAGAATAAGCTTTGATTTGGGCGAGACAAAATATCGGGCATGTAGGTATTTTATGGCCATTATTTCCACAATAGGCACACAATCCATGTTTCCATCTTAAGCCTTTCGAGCTGCTCTTTCCGCCTTTACGTTGTCTAGCCAATTTGTATCAAGAGTTGGTGAAGCTGGGTTAGGTGACGAAGAATTTAATGGCATGGAAATATTCGAAAATCGGTGTGACTGAGCATTCTCGCGCCTTGTATATGTTTTTTGGATCTCCAGCTCCTTTTCACGCTGTCGAATGTATAGCTGGTTATCTAGGGATATACATAGGGCCGCATATTCCGCAAATAATTCAGATTTATCCATTCCAACTAATGCGTTCTTGATATTTTCCCTTACCCTTTTCTGAAGTGGCGGATGAGACATTTCTGCTCAGACCAGCCGAGTCGAGAGAATATAGATGAAATCTTAGCTAAGTAAGTCGAACAAGAGCCTATCTGACACATGGAGTTTAGTTCTCTCTCTGCAGTTGAGTACGGGTCGGGGTCGTCAAATGCACTTCGGAGAGCGTCAATGAAACTAGCGAAAGATTTAAAGGATACATCACCGTTATTTTGGCTGACATGAGGCTTAAACCACATAAATGCCGGTCCAGTGAGATATGATCCAGCCAACAGAATCCGGGAAATATCCGAACTGAATGCAGATGGATTTGAACGAAATAGTAGTTGCAACTGCGTCATGAAATAGCCAAATTGTGACCTGGTTCCATCAAATTTATCAGGGTTGGGAAAGTTGGGAAAAGAGGAGTTGTGGTTTTCAGAATATGGTGAATAGTAAGTGATAGGTTGCAAGGCTCGAATAGCAAGTCCTTGTCAAAGAAAACAGGAGTTATTGATTACTTGTTTCTGTATATCTGTACAGGGAGTAGGATACAGCTCACTGTAGTCGATTACAGTTCCAGATCCAGACACCTTGCCTGCAATGAAGGCACGGTTAACGATATGCCGTATTTCTGCAGGCACATCAATTGGTATTACGAGACCAAGAAGGGATGGTTGAGACACGATGGTTTCCCAGCTGTCCATTATTGATTTCCAAGCCTGGTCCTCCATGCACATTGTGGGCGCTCAAGTTGTGAGTCGTGCTAATTGGTGAGATGAGTTTTGCAAAATGTTACGGCTGGTATATGAAGGCATAGCCGTCTTCAAGATTGGGAACTGGCCGATGTTGCACGAGAGTATATCAGAACGGACGGGGACAAGAATAGCTTGTGGACTAATAATACAGATTGCAAAACTACAGAACTAAAGCTACATCTTACACCTAACTAAGTACAACTGTACAGCCTAGCGTGACACAACTAAATGTCGGCGCCTGATATGATAAGGCCTCCGCAGTTCGAGCCAGTGTTTATGACACAGTGGTATAGCCACAACTACAAGTCATTATACTGAGTAGCAGTGTTTGTGTTTATTGTGCTACTTGAGTCTATGACTATCTAGCACATTGGGCTCCTCTCTGACCCAGGCCACACCTTGTACAGCGCTCCTATCCTCTTTTGTTACTTCAAAGATCATTGATATATTCCCCTTGATGAATAGCCATTCAGCTCAGTATTTACCCGTGGAGTTCGGCCACCTTTTCCACGGAACCTTCTACCCAAAAAAAATAAAAATGGTAGCAATGGAAACTGCGTGCGCGGGAAAAAGTCTCAAAAAACCTGTAGCCCCAGCCAGGCGAGGACTAGACACCGGGACCACATGAGGTGCGCATATTCATCTATGTCTCCCTTCTTTGTAACAGTCGAGGCTGACTTGATCCAATCCACCATCTCCGTGTCGGATGCTGGGTACGCTCCGGAAACTCATCGGATGGCTTTTCCTCCGTGATCAAGGTTTGGTGATGAGTAGAGCTCCGACCCTACCATCTGATCTGATCGTGGTTAGCTTCATGATAATGGTGATAGGGGAATGTGTTGAGAGATGAAGACGATACAGACCGCGAAAGCGATTGGGAATCCTGTTCGAAGTGAGGACTTTGTTACACAATCTCGGCTCTGCAGACTCTACAGTGAGAGCTGGAGGTTCGTAGGGGACACCGCTGACAGGTGTTGAGAATAGTCCCCCTACTGAGTAGCAGTCATACTGAGCTATAACAGTTTCGGTGCATTCTCTATCTATGACTCACTAGTAAATGTGAGGGCTGTCTACCCATTGACCCAGGATATTTATGACCCCTTTGTATTTAATAGATCTCCAATATGACAGTGCTACCCCTCAAACACCATCGTTGAATTATCCACAAAAGAGGTTATTGCCACTGACTGCATTCTTTTTATTTTCCTAATGAGTCTATGGCCATATGAGAATATGTAAGTCCTTTTTGCCCATAGACCGGAAGTACCTAGGCATCGGGTAGTGTACTCTCTTATAATCTCCTTCAAACATCTTTTTAGCGGTATTCAAACAGGTCCAGTGTTTGCCCTTCATAATTTCTGTTTCCTAAACAACCAAATGGTTTCAGTTTGCGATTTTATGGAGATCGGTGAAGATTGCAAGAACCAGTAGATGTAAAATTCTCCTGGTATCAATATCAAGAGTGGATCTGAACATACAACTACCCTTTCGAGGAGCTCAATATAAACACTCTTCCGGGAATTTTAGGTTTTTATGTACCTTAGAAATGCAAAGTCTACATTCCTGACTTGCTCTCAGTCCCTCCCAATGTTAGGACTTCAGATAAAATCAGAGATCCACTCCATATGTCATGAACGAAGTATTAGAGCTTATATGCTGTGCTGTACTGTTGTTGTTTTAAACATGCCGATGTGTTGTAATTACGAGGTTCTGTGGATAAGTATTGTCGTAGGTCAGTTTGTACATAAAGAAGAATGCGGAATGAATATTCTGGTGGGGGTTTTTTTTTTTTGCATATATTCTGGTGGTGAGCGAATGTATTTAGACTATCTGAGAATAAATGGATGTCTAAAAATAAACGCATGTTCTACATAAGAAGTAAATACACCTGGTTATTTACGTGTCCGATTTGCTCTACAGCCATGCCCATTGATCGTCTGATGTACTCATGTAATGCGTAACGACATTATTTGATGGAGGGCAAGACTGAACACCTATACGCGGTGTCCTCTACGAACCTGGGAGTGAAATATTCTCTCAGAGCCAAATTCAGTCAAATTTCGCAATATCAAAGAAGTTGGCCCACGAGGCAGAAATCAAAATTACTCCTCCACGTCGTTTTTTCGCTCCCAACGAGTTCGAATCCTACCCAAGTCTCGTCAAGCCTACAAGAACGACAAAGTACATCCTCACCCCAATGACCACACCACTCTTCGACCTTCTCTGGCCTCAGTTGACCACCAAACACATGCCCACGCCGATATTTACACCCGACAGAGGAAAAAAAGCGTGGCACAAAAATCTGAATGACAATTCTTTGGGATGGATCTGAGAGTTATCAGGAAAAGTCGACAACATGATGCAAAAGAAGAATTTAATCTCGAAGGGCGTGAAATTCCGAATTTTGGCAAGGTGTTTTACGAATTGAGCTTTGTGCGCGTCAAGACTTCGCTTGCGAAAGTGCAGCTGACACTATAAAAATAAGCAAACGATGGAAGGTGTTGTGGTCCGCCTCCTGGTGGTGTTCTCCGGTATAGTTTGAGTAGCCTGGGCACCTACTCCACTTGGGAAGGAGATATCTCAGACCATATTTCGCGCGGAGAAAAGTTGAAAGATGATGGAGGCATGCCTGGATAACTCAGGGTTTTTGAGATGTTCCCCTGGGTGGGTATTCACGGATGAGGGTTGACTTGGGGTGAAGAGAAAGCCACCATAACTTCGCAGTAGTAGTTGCAAATGAAATCTGAGGCATGAGTGCTCTTCCCTTACGTTGAATCATCTATTCTGTACTTTTCTTTGATATTGTGTCATAGCTAGATAGCTGCATACACAATTAAAATCTGATGCAAAAAAAAAGGCATTATTTGATCCTTAAGCTCCTGATAACTAGCACGAATCGCATTTGAGTTATGCATTAATCTGAGCTTGCATAAATCAAGTCATGTAATTTAATCACTGAGTCTTGCCTTTGTAGCTCTTGCGCAGACTAGGATCCTAACACGATTATATATTCATGAACAAGTGTGGGTTTTGAGAGCATACATTTTAATTTGAATAATTGTCGCATTCCCCCAAAAAAATTCGATCATGCCACCTATTCAAAACAAGCTTCCCAACGTAATGTTAGACAACTCGAGAGTCCGCCCGACGGCTCCCGCAAAACCACCTGGCCTTGCTCAGTCTTCGAAAGACGCGGAGATGGGTCTGGCCGTTTGAAAGGAAAGGAGAAAGCGCTTCCCACCATCAACAAGCCTGAAACTAACATCATCTGGTCAGTTGAAACTGTTGAGGAGATTTCTCAACGTGCCTCCGTCCCTCACGGGATTAGAGAATCGTCCAAATCTCCTCTGACCGAGCAAAAACTATCGGAGAAATCTGCACCGAAAGAGTTGCAGCTCCAAGCTGCCACTAAAACAGAATGCCCTCTGGAGCTTCGACCGATCCTCGAGGCCGGAGAGCGTTGCGCCGCCGAAACAGCGGCAAATCTGGCGCTCTGTTCCTCCGCTATCTCTGGCGTCGAAGCTACCATCCTCACTTTGACCAACGGGTCAAAAAGTCCATCCAGAGACTCCATCGGAGTCTAACTACGCGCCGCCATTGCGTAATACCTGGTCACGGACCCGGCCATTACACCACCCGTGTTGTGCTGTTGATGGCTAGGATTAAAATGCACGAGGGTAATGATCACTGAGGGTGAAGGAAGAACTTTCCAGGTAGCTCCATGATAAGTAGAGGAACAATGGAGCACTGTATAGAAAGTGTTTCTAGATTGTGCTACCAGATGGAGGAGACTAGAATATTCCGCGATACTATTTTGGGTAAATGAGGTGAGAGTCTAGCTACCTCAGATGTGTATATAATTAGCGCTTTCTACCTCCTAAATCCTCATAGTTCTGAATATCAAATATATCAGCAGTTCATATTGATTCATCAATAATCACCCGTAAACCTTCTGCCAATTAATATCCGTACGCTCTTACCTTTACAACAACCCGTCCTTCCTCCTCGCTCGCCGGACCCTCTTCCGACAGCTCCCGGATGATGGCGTAATTGTTGGCATCTTTAACAATTTTAATTCTTGTCTGCTATGGGACGTCGTTGACCTCGACTGAAATGCCTTGCCGCAAGTTTTTAAATTCGTTTGGTTTTCGCATATTTAGCGCTACGTTTCTCTTGGATGCCGACTGGCTAACACCTCGGTATCGTTGCTCCGCATTTGTCGAATCCCGTATGCGCCATCGATTTGTTACTCTGCCTTTGACAATAGCTCTTCTGGCTGCTTCAATTCTAATTCGTATCGCCGTTTTCGTCATTTGCCGAGCTACAACCGACGCGTAGCTCATTGGTGTCGGCGCGCCCGAAGTCACAACTGGAGCGCCTTTTCGAGCAAGATTCGCGAGGCTCTTCTGGACAACTTTCTCTAACGCCATCATCATCTATTCGATTGGAGACGTCTTGTAGGACGTTTCCTTCCAGGTTCTTTTGAGAGCATTGAATGCCTTAACGGCTTCGTTAACATCCTCCATGGATGATAAGTCATCCTCGACCATTTCTCCCATCAGGATTAGTCTAATCTCTTTCAATAATTTCCCTAGGATTTCAAGGTTGTTATCCTTTAAAGCTGTCTGCGCCCAGTTGCCGTTGGTTGTAGTAGCCATTGTCGCTTTTTGCAACGCGTCTAAACCGCTGGATTTACCCATACCTGCATCTACACCTGCTATATTGAAGCACGGAAACCGAAGTGATAGGAAGAGGGTAAAAAAGATATAAAAATTTGATTCACGATGTTAAATTGATGATAAAGGCAACGTGAAATGCTGCGCAGCTTTTTAGCAAAAATGATGTTTCTCAAATTTTGTGACTTAATTTCTTGTAAGATGGTTCCACGTTTAGCATTGTGCGCTACTCTGATTTGACTTGGAGTGTATAGGCGATGCCATAAATGTGGCCACAGTTGAGTATTACAGTGGTACATTATTTGGGCTTGTCTATTGAATAGAGTCCAGAGAACTATAAAATCTTCCGCGCTTGAGACAGGAGATCGTTGTTTCGAATCCAGGAATTTTCCATTTCATTTTTCTCAGTGCTCGCATGCATAGACGACAAGGGCATGCTCTAAGTATCAAAGGCGTTGAAATCTACATTTGCTATGTACTCACGAAGGAGTGAAGGCTATTCTTGGTAAGTAAACATACATGATATTAGTATTTTCTACTGAAACCTGTGGTATAAGTATCTTTGAAGTCGGAAGTCATCTGATATTCAAAGGAGACGCAGATCATCTTTCATAGCTCTTCGGTTGAGGACACATTAATTGGTTAAATAGACTGAGTCTATATATCATTTTAATAGAAATCCACTACATATGATTTGTCAAAAATTTATGTCTAGTTGTTATTTTTATCATTATTCAATCCAAAAATCCGGGTGACGTAGATGTTGATACTTTGAGCTGCGTAGAAGGGATTCAAAGGTTTGACTGGCAACAAATTTAGAATGGGGACAGCTTAGAGTCTCACCATCTGAATGATAAAGCTGGATAATTTTGGTCCCTCTTACAAACTTGATCCAGAGACGTTTAGTTGTCTTGACACAATAGCATAAGGCACCTTGCAATGCGATATGTAGTTATGTGTTCGAGCATCCATGGAAATTGATTACCAGTGTAATGCTCTAGGATTGAGTTGTTCTTACGATCTCGACGGGATTATCGGAAAGAGGCCACATAATTTTCATCTAGACTTTTATCTTGTGGCTAATTCAAAATTTCGTGAGGGACGAGAATATCTTTTTTACCGCAACCCGATTTTGGGAGAAAATCCTGTAACGCCCGCAAATTTGAAAGAACTTTCTCACCTTTACAGTTGTCCCGTAGCTCTGGCCTGTCTTTCGACTTCGTAACTAAAATCGAAATAGCCTTTATCAAACTGATGTACCCGCACGTACCCATCTTCTCCACCACTTGCGTAGCCTTTGCCAGTAGGATCAACCGCGACAGTGTCAATGTAATGTTAGAGATGGATCTTTTGACGGGTTATTAGTACTTACTAAGTGGACCGAAATGTCCCCGTACTCTTCCGATTTCTTCTTCAAATATTTTGTGGTAAAATCTCGCTTCAAATTTACCTTGACGAGTCGAAGTAGTGGTGACATCCATTGCGGCCTGTCCTCCTCCGAGAATAACGAAGTCCTTCTTTGGTGTGATTGAGGCGCTATTTAGAGGCGTGTCTGCAACGTATACTTTTAAAACCTCCAGGTTTGAGACATTGATAAGCTTATTTGTTAGTAAATTTTCAAGTTAAACTTGATTCTCTCACCTTGGAAGTCTTATCTTTGGACGCAGTGATGAAATACGTCCTGTCTGTCGACCACTGAAGATCTGTGATGATTGTCTCGTGAACCTTCTCATTTAAGATTCTTCGGCCATCCTATCTTGTGTGAGTAAACTTCCGACAATTTATCAATGCTGCTGACCTCTGGATGGTATTGCGATACGCTCCCATCTTCATGTCCCGCAATTATATACTTGGACAAGTAACTCCATCCAGCGACTGTAGCTTTGCTTTCTTCGCAAGTTATTGTCATGACCTTCTCGTCAGACTGTTCAGCATTTACGTCTATTTTGATGTCCAAAACTACAATAGTACCCAGGAATCCCATACGTTGTTCGGTGACTGCAAGTAGTTGCGAACCGTCCTCGTTAAATTCAACCCGTTTCACAGCCGTGTTGAAATCCCAGACCTTTAAGCATTTGCCGGACTTGATATCCCATAGTCTAACGGTGTTATCTGCCGCGCCACTGGCGATAATAGTACTCGTAGGGTCAACATCTACTGTCCATATCGCACCTTGATGACCGTGATAAGTCCCAAGTCTTTCACCGTTGTGTGAGAACCATGCGCATATATGTTGATCTTTTGCGGTAGAGAAAATTATGTCACCATCTCTATTGTATCTGTGCATAGTCAACTACATTCCAATGTAAGTGACCTCGAAGGGATTTTCGCGTACTTAATTTGAGTCAGGGCTCTTTCCTTAAGTCTGTTAGTATGATTTCCTTGCTTAGGGGTTCAAATCTTTTTACATGTCCTTGTAACAATGTTGGTCTCATATTTCCGACGGATCTTTGGATTGATTATTAGAGGAATATTCTTCAATACAGGAATCATGAGCGTCGTACGGTTGTCGTTACGCATTAATACGTCCTTGTGGGGGAAGGGCGTTGAAGGGCGGATCTTAGCGAAAAATTAATTGTGGGACACTTCAATCCATAAATCGTTAATGTTCTTATTCAGGGCCTACTGGGCATCCGGGTTAATTACTTCTTGGCCTATGGTCAGCTAGACCTTGACCATTATTTATTTAGGTAATCAGGACATGCTGGTAGACTAGTTTATTTTTCGAGGTTCAATTTTAAGAAATAAACAGTGCTATCCCTCTCAAGCTACGGACTGAAAAGAACCCCCCCAAATCACTTTATCTTGCATCTGTACAGGAATGCTTATTGGAATACGGCGTCAGCAGTTTCGCCAAAACCTGCAAACTTCTTACTGTAGTGCGTCAATAGTTCGAAGGGGTGCAGTAAGAAACTTGGCATCAAAACGAACCTCATACTATTCCACGCATGCACCATCATTGCCAACCTTGTGTTCTAGTATCCCTTCGGCCAGCGATAGGCCCACAACCCGCATTCTCAAAAACAAGCCTCAGTCTCCTGTGGGACTTCCCCTCACACAAACAAGACCTCTTTCCTCTACAGCAGCAAACATGGCAGCCACAATAATTGACGGGAACGCTATTGCGATGAAAATTCGCCAAAAAATTCACGCCGAAATACAAGCAACAAGGGAAATCAACCCTAGATTTAATCCATCTTTAAAAATTATTCAAGGTTGCAAAGTCCATATTGAAAATATTCTCTTCGCTGCTAATCATAACCTTAGTTGGCGATCGTTCAGATTCGTGTAGAAAGAATTTATCACGTTGACTTTCGGTATGCTAACCCGTTTTAGCAACCTATGTTCGAATGAAATTGAAAGCAGCCGAAGAGGTTTGAAGCATGACCAAATAATAAAATTTCCTTGTACTAATTATATTGTAACACAGGCATCCATAGAATGTGAAATTATTCGATTTCCTGTCACCACCACTGAAACTGAACTATTGAATAAAATTTCACAACTCAACAACGACTTCTCAGTCCATGGAATCCTCGTTCAATTACCTGTTCCCGAACATATATCTGAATATGCTGTCACATCAGCTGTATCTGAAGACAAAGATGTCGATGGTTTTGGCGCTAACAACATTGGAGAGCTAGCTAAACGTGGTGGTAAACCTCTTTTCACTCCCTGCACACCCAAAGGTGTTATGGTACTACTGCAAGAGAGTGGTATAAACCTCAAAGGCAAAAATGCAGTTGTACTTGGACGTAGCGATATTGTCGGTAACCCAGTAAGCTACCTTCTTAGACGAGCAGATGCCACTGTCACTGTCTGTCACAGAGAGACACAAAATCTAGAAGAGCACCTTAAGAATGCTGATGTTCTAGTTTCAGCTGTAGGGAAGCCACAATTTGTAAAGGGTGAATGGTTAAAGCCAGGAGTAGTTGTCATTGACGTGGGCACTAACTTTATTCCTTGTGAATCGAAAAAAGCTGGACGACAGTTAGTTGGCGACATTGATTTTGATTCGGCTTCAAAAGTGGCTTCAAAAATAACACCAGTTCCTGGAGGTGTTGGACCGATGACCATTGCTATGTTACTACAGAACGTTGTTGATGCGGCAAGAAGAAGTTATGACGAACAAATTTCAAGGTCCATCAAACCTCTTCCGTTAATACTGAAGACACCAGTTCCATCTGATATTGCGATTTCGCGATCTCAACAGCCAAAAAAGATTACCAATGTTGCTGCGGAGATAGGTATTGCCGGTCACGAATTAGAGCCCTACGGTGCACACAAAGCCAAGGTTAGTCTTGACGTACTCAAACGTTTGGGACACCGAAAAAACGGTCGCTTTGTTGTTGTCACTGGTATAACGCCAACACCTCTTGGTGAAGGCAAGTCAACCACCACTATGGGAATTGCCCAAGCTCTTGGTGCCCATCTCAACCGGGTCGCTTTTGCCAATGTCAGACAACCTAGCCAGGGTCCGACATTTGGTATCAAAGGTGGTGCCGCTGGAGGCGGTTACAGTCAGGTTATTCCAATGGACGAATTTAATCTCCACTTGACAGGCGATATCCATGCCATAACTGCAGCCAACAACCTTTTAGCAGCTGCAATAGAAACACGAATGTTCCACGAAAATACGCAGTCTGATGCCGCACTCTACAAGCGTCTGGTACCTTCGAAAAAAGGAAAAAGACAATTCACCCCTATCATGTTCCGTCGATTGAAAAAACTTGGCATCAACCAGGAAAATCCAGACAAGCTCACTACGGATGAGATTCGCAAATTCGCTAGACTTGATATCGAGCCTTCAACCATCACCTGGAGACGTGTTCTTGACGTGAATGATCGTCACTTAAGGGGTGTAACAGTGGGAACTGCTGCTACTGAGAAGGGCCAGAGTCGCGAAACTGGTTTTGACATATCCGTAGCCAGTGAGTGCATGGCCATTCTCGCTCTCAGTAGTGATCTGAATGACATGAGAGAACGTTTGGGAAGAATGGTTATTGGGTTCTCGAGACAAGGTGATCCTGTTACTTGTGATGACATTGGTGCCGGGGGTGCGCTCACAGCTTTAATGAAAGACGCTATCAAACCAAACCTAATGCAAACAATGGAAGGGACCCCAGTTTTTGTCCACGCTGGACCATTTGCAAATATCAGTATCGGGGCTAGCTCAGTCTTGGCTGACAAAATTGCGCTCAAACTTGCTGGAACTGAGCTGGACGAGAATCATAATGAGAAAGCCGGATTCGTCATTACAGAAGCCGGGTTCGACTTTACGATGGGAGGAGAACGATTCTTCAACATCAAGTGCAGATCATCTGGGCTTGTTCCTGATGTAGTTGTTATTGTAGCGACAGTTCGTGCGCTCAAGGTTCATGGAGGCGGCCCCCCGATTGTACCGGGTGCGGCCCTCAATAAAGTCTATGCTCAAGAGAATGTCGAAATTCTTCGCACAGGTTGTGTCAATCTCAGAAAACACATTAGTAACGCCAAAATCTACGGTGTCCCAGTAGTTGTCGCTATTAACAAATTCGAGACTGATACCGATGCCGAAATCCAGGTTATTAGAGAGGAATCAATAGCAGCCGGTGCCGAGGATGCAATTCCTGCTAACCACTGGGCTGAGGGTGGAAAAGGCGCGATTGAATTGTCGAAAGGCATAATTGCCGCATGTGAGAAAGAAAAAGACTTTAAATTACTGTACAGTCTTGATGGCAGTGTTCAATCTCGCATTGAAGCTATAGGCCAAAAAATGTACGGCGCCGCGAGCGTTGAATTCAGTGAGATTGCTCAGAAAAAGGTGGACATGTACACGAGCCAAGGATTCGGAAATCTCCCGATTTGTATCGCTAAGACTCAGTATTCCTTATCCCATGATCCAGATCTCAAAGGCGCACCAACTGGATTTACTGTGCCCATCCGAGACGTTCGTCTTGCTGCTGGTGCTGGTTATTTGTAAGTTTGCGATTACAATTACATTGGAACATCTGCTGATAACATTTTAGATATGCACTCGCTGCAGACATTCAAACAATTCCGGGTCTACCAACTGCTCCGGGGTATCTTAACGTTGATGTTGATACAGAGACCGGGGAAATTGATGGCCTTTTTTAAATACTTTTCTTGGTTTCGTTGATTTTTTGAAAATCAAGTTTACTATTTTTCATCAATTAGCTACACAAACTTAGACTACTTTTTTCTAACTAACTCTTTTTCACCATTTCTGAGTATAATTTTTTTCTAAGCTCATCACAAGTGATATTTGTCTCCATAAACGGGCTCCATTCTCAACGATCAAATCAAAATGTTTTACTTCGAAAATGCGTGACACTACACACTCAACCCCAAACTTGCCCACTAGTCCTATTTGATGGGAAGTGTAGTATACTTTTCTAACATAAGAATGCGAGCGCTTTACCAATACCGATCCTTGAACAACTGGAGGTTTGGGAGCTTTGGCAGTAATATGCTGCCTAGAGAAAAATGCTGTCGATAAATGTCCACAATTCCTTGTCTCAAACAGAAGTGCAGTAATTCATGATGCACGGCGAGCATGCCCTCAAATTTTACGTAGTGGTTTAAGCTTGGCCAACAGTGCCCACTCTTTTTACTTATGAGCGACTTTCATTCTTCCTGGCTGTATATCTATCATTCTGCACATCAGAACTCGCTAAAAGTGGAAGTGCCCTTAATTATAAACTGCATGTAGGTAGATTTAGTGAGAGATATTCGATATAAAATAGTATTCTTATATCCAATAGAGTCTATCATTACGTCAGAAAACACTCGGTGTTTCTGCCTACCGCCCGAGAGTACATAAAATCTTACGGGGAACTCACTGTTGTGGATCCTCCGGGGTTCTCATCCATCAAACTGATTGTTAGCAAACTCATGAATTCGAGAGTAATTGTCTTCTAAATAGACGTCGGTTCGACGGCGTTTGGGCACAGATGTACCTAGAGACGCATCAATGAAATAAATATGTAGTAGAATAAACTCTGCCTGCTGCTTGCAGCCTGGATTGCCTACGGCGGCTAGCTGCATAAATTCATGGTTTAAAACTCCTGAGTGTAAAGACTAATCTATCTATAGAAAGTATTATATACTTGTATAATTCTCCTTGGGTCCTATAGCTTTGAAGTCATCCAATGCTTGGCAACTTTTTCAGTAATACACATTCAAATCTTGTTTTTGAGGCCGAAAAAAACATATACTTCACCTTCCAGTGCTACGTGTGTGGTTGATCAGCGTGCTTTGTATATCTAAGGATACCCAAGGAGGAGTATTCTGAATACCTGTCAGTGATGTCCCCTACGAACCTCCAGCTCTCACTGTAGAGTCTGCAGAGCCGAGATTGTGTAACAAAGTCCTCACTTCGAACAGGATTCCCAATCGCTTTCGCGGTCTGTATCGTCTTCATCTCTCAACACATTCCCCTATCACCATTATCATGAAGCTAACCACGATCAGATCAGATGGTAGGGTCGGAGCTCTACTCATCACCAAACCTTGATCACGGAGGAAAAGCCATCCGATGAGTTTCCGGAGCGTACCCAGCATCCGACACGGAGATGGTGGATTGGATCAAGTCAGCCTCGACTGTTACAAAGAAGGGAGACATAGATGAATATGCGCACCTCATGTGGTCCCGGTGTCTAGTCCTCGCCTGGCTGGGGCTACAGGTTTTTTGAGACTTTTTCCCGCGCACGCAGTTTCCATTGCTACCATTTTTATTTTTTTTGGGTAGAAGGTTCCGTGGGAAAGGTGGCCGAACTCCACAGGTAAATAATGGGCTGAATGGCTGTACATCACGGGCGATCTATATCAATGATCTTTGAAGTAACAAAAGAGGATAGGAGCGCTGTACAAGGTGTGGCCTGGGTCAGAGAGGAGCCCAATGTGCTAGATAGTCATAGACTCAAGTAGTACAATAAACAAAAACACACACACTGTCTAATCCCGCCGAAGCCAGACTAAGCTGCCTATGCGGATCACTAAAGACCCCTACCCATTTTTTATTCTGCCGTATCATCCGCCGTCGCCGCGGAGCACGCCCTGCTAGATCTATCAACCAACTCCTTCCGGGTTTAATCGGCACGTCGGAAGAGGCAGTTTCTATGTCTAATTGACTGTAAATTCTAGATTCTTCGAAGAAATCTGCCCACGGTGAGGGGCCGACTCACCTTTTCGTTTGTTTTGATTGGGGTCTCCAAGGACAGAGTGGGTGAGAGGGACTACTTGATCACCAGTCTTGAGGTGTTGGAGGTCTCATGTCTTTTTGTCCTTTGTTTTAACTTTTTCATCATTTTCTGTGCGCAGTTTCACATAACGCGGCATAGCTCTGTATTCTAGGCTTTTAGTAGTCCCATGGTGTCTAGAGCTCATGCTCTAGCGTCCTTCGCCCTTCATAGGCATAAAAGTGCGCGTGCCTACAGGCCACGCGCAGTGTAAGACGTTAAATAATATCATCATCATCCTCAAATCAAAACTACACTACAATTCAGTGGTGTCCAGCTACATTTTTCCATATCTTCTTAATCAATTTCCCGACATTTGATCGTTAAAGGACGATAAGATGCACCACAGGAGGCGTAAAACCCCTGCACGAACTGCCCCGCGCGCCGCGAAACATGCGAGGCCTCGTCGACCTCTTATAACAATCCAGGAGGAAGTCATCTTAGTAGCCGAAGCTGAGAAACAATTACCTCCACCCGAGCCTATTGATATGGACTCAGAAGATAAGTTTATGGACCTAGGGCTTGAAAACGAACTTCTTCCCTACCCTATCTGTCACGGGACTAAGTCCTAGGAATGGCTTAGCGAACTTGGGCCTTAGAGACTTCCATGTACATAGATAGATTTACTCTCCTAATCGCACAACACCGTTAATGATCCCGACCCATCCAGATCCTGATATTCCCTTTATACATTCAGTGACATTTTGTGCGATCTTTAACATACGTGCCTTATCGCGCCCTGCTTCCCTGCTTCCCTGCTTCCCTGCTTCCCTGCTTCCCTGATCCAGTTACCTTTAACCGGAAAAAAATTGTATCCTGTAAGAAGGACCTTGTTGTAATTAAGGCAGCAACATGACTGCAGTAGACAAATGGTACATATTAGAATTATATGCACTGGAGCCATGAGATATGATTAACCTATATCATCACTCACTGGCATGAATAGTAATTAGTCAATAGATGCCTGACGGCATACTTTGGCTTCGGGATTTCCAACACCCTTCCCATTTAAGTTAGCTTAGGAAGTATTTTGGAGTTCATACTCGTGTGCGGAAAGCCCCGCTTTCATGTATATAGAGGGACTCCTCGCCATACATGCAGAAACATAGCGATTTCTTTACAATTAACTATCCATTAAAAATCAGTAGACTTTCGGGGACTATGCCGACTACCATCGACGTTTCAACCCCGAACATGAAGATCTGAAATGCGTTTGCGGCCGAGAGAAAAGGCCCTGTCATTTTTCAGAGTGCCGACCTGCTTTGCTACGTTGGAGAATCCATGAGACAATGGCCCCACCTGGGGCCAGAGAAATGATAGGGGAGAAGGGATGGCAGAAGTTCATTCGATTCTTAACTACAAGCCGATGTTACAGTCTGCCGAAGAATGAACAGGGTGGGAGGTGACCCCGCTGAGATTGTTTCTGACCCGAGAGTAGATGGGTGTGGAAGATAGGGATGCAGCGCAGGGCACCGTAACTCAGACACATACTGTTCTTTTTTTTTTTTTTTTCAATCTTTTCTTTTGTCGCTTCTGGCCCCACTGCCGGTCATGTAGGTAGCAATGAGCTTTCAGAGCCCATCCACCCGTGTCACGTCTACATAGATGTTAGGTTCTTCCTGTCACGTCAAAGATTTCAAATTCAAATTCAAATCAGTAGACTTTGTTGTACATTAATCAAATTCATCATAACTCTAACTCATCCTCATACTTGGTTTGTCATTCTAACAATTTCCGGAACCATTCTAATTCTTTTCGAACGCAACAAGGCACTCCTTTATTCTTCAAATCAATTTATCCAGTATGTATAATAATGGCCAGCAACCAGGACGCGTCTACTCTGAACCAACTTTTAGATTCCTTCCGTGAAAGTTGGCCGAATCTTGCCAGCGCCATTGGAGACCACACATTCCCGCCAGACTTGAATCCGACTCCTCTCTTGACAACCATAGCCTCAACTTCTGATTTACCTGAAAAAATGATGTTCTGCAGTTTGATAAAATGTTTTGATCTTAAGTTTGGTGTACTTAACAGGCAGATTTCCCACCAGTCAGCAACAATATCTGAATTTGAGTCCAATTTTAAAAGCATGAAAGGACATATCAGTGAGCTAAGCGAAAGACTTATTCTTGCTCATCAGGATACTCTAAAGGCACGAGAAACAATAGAAACGAAAAACCAGCAAGTATAAAGCCGTCTGAACAATATCAATACATTAAATTTGAGAATAAGCAAATTGAAAGCTCAGGTATCATCAGGGAATGAAGAAACTCAGAAGTTACGGACCCAAATTCAAAATAATATTGTTAACTCCAACATAGTTTCTAACAAACAGGCCATCCGTCTAAAACCTCGCCGTACTACAGTAGACCATGATAAGTTCACTGGAAATCAGATTAATATGGAGAAAAGGCAATTAGTCTATGAGCAATGGAAGACACAAGTTGAACAGAATATCCTTGTGGATAAGGCTTGCCTTCTGGTGAATTTGAAAAAGTGTTGTATATAACTGGACAACTCACAGACAAGGCATGGGACTCTGTGCAAGATGGTGTCCAGATGATGAATAAGAATCCTGAGAATCCTCAGAAATGGGCATGGAAAACATCTGAAGAATTGTTGACAGTCTTGGACGGGCAATATATGCTACTAGATATCACCCAGACAGCAAAAAATAAATTGGATACACTATACCAAGAAAAGCGCGCCTTCTGAGACTTAAAAGTAGACTTTGACCATTTTGTGGAGAAGGCTAAATATGATGACAGGACAAAAGTCGATTTGCTGAGGAAGCGATTGAATAAAAAGATCACCAGTGTAATAGACAATCAAGTAAATTTACCCGAAGATGACGACTTTAATAGTTGGAGCCAGATG